TGAAATTATACCAGAGTTTGAGTCTAGCTGAGGATGCTGATGAGATCCAAGCGAGGCCGGAACTCCAATCCAGTCCACTAAAAATGAAAATACATTTTTGGAAACAAAGCTATGTGGAATTCAAGGGAAACGTATGACCTACTCATATAATTGCGGAAAAATTCAATCTACGGTCCTTCATCACCTTAAAGTAAATGGGGCAAATACAGTTCTTATATCGTTACTTTCCGCCGGATGTTGACCGAAATGATGATATCAAAATGGTGAATAACGCATTCCCATTTCCGAAATCAAATGTTCGGCTCTTTTTCACAATTATAATTTTGAAAAATATTTGGCCATGTTTGAATTATCAGTTGCTGTTGTCAAGGCCAGAGCTGTACACTTTAGGGGCTGTAATGAACAAAGCGGCAGGTCGTCTCCCGGGACGGTTTACCTGTGACGACGTACTTTGAAAACCTCCTAAAACTGTGGGCATAGCCCGTGACTTCAGCAGCCTGTACAGTGCATGGAAAAAGGCTTGACGATTTAGGGCAAGATGTCTTGCTGTACAAGCTAAAGAATTGGGCGAAGCTGAAGGGAGCTAGTGAGGGAGGGGAACCTAGTCTGCAGGAAATGAGGCAAAGCAAAGCAAAGCAAACACAGCTCCTATGAATGGCCAAACAGAAGTACGTGCGCTCATCTCTTTCGTCTTGTGCCCAGACAGTGACCAGTTGGCTTGGTGGGAAAGAATACACAAGGGAAAGTGATGCATGCGTAGGGGAGGAGAGAAATGAAAAAAAAGATATGACGAGAAGAGGAGGAAATGGATGTAGATGTGCACCTAGCTCACACTAGTAGTCTCAACTTCTTGACAGAAAATTCGATATGAGCACAGGTGAGATGAGCCTGGCAGAGCCATTTGTCAGGATAACAAGGTCAGAAGCCACCTGATCCAGTTTGACTGGTCGACATTAATAATGCCTTAACAGGCTTCGACAATGGTTGTAGGATTGGTTTGACCTGTGACAACTGACATCTATAGCTAAGTAGCATAGTTTTATCGCATATTCATACAAAGTAGTTTTTGATACATTCAGTAAATTTTGAATAAGATTTCCAGTCATCCTCGATAGTATAAGGCGATGAAAGGCTTAAAATTGAATTTCCCCACATTTGTATGATTAGACCCCACGTTTCCTAGTAATTTCATATAGACTTTCTTCTCAAAGGGGTATTCTCAACTAGGCTGAACTGTACTGTAATTTTGACCCCCAGCGGGACTCGGACCCGAAAGTGCAATGTATAATCTCGACATGTTAGCCAATATGCTACACTGTCAAGAGGACAAGTTGGGATTTTCAAACAGGCGAACTTACATTTTTCATTTGTAAATAGGGCTTAGAGATTACCGGAAACTTAGTTATATGAGATGTATTCACCCTATTTAGTTTATGGTGATGAATTACTGGTAGTTAAATTTAGGTGTAAACTCAGTCATGAGAGCCATGCCTTGGTGAATTACGGAACTTCTCGGTCTGTACCGTTGAGGATATGCAAACAAAAAACTTCTACATGGGACCCACCCCTGACTCGGGTTCGGAACTAGACGGCTCCTTAGGTCTTCCTAATCTTAGTCATTCGCCTACTTCATTGTGACATTTTTCGCCTAAAGTCTTGCTTAGAATTGTGTGAATAGGTAAATATGTGATATGAAGTAGGGCAGACAGGAAGAGATGCAGCATTAGAAGATAGGACAAAAAATAGAGGTGAGGAGTAATGGCACAACATTTGAATAAAAAATTGGTTAGAAGGGATTGTCTTCACTTGTCACTTTAGTAAGTCGTAACTCTGTGCTATCGATTGCGCCTCTCACTGACGACGCCGATTACGATGACGGAGAAACGTTTGAGAATGTACCAAGTCAATGGTCCGATACTGGAAATCACGAATACTATGACAGAAGACGCAGGACTAGGTACGTCCCACAAGGTCGCCCCGGTGCTCTGACCAAGTTGCGAAAACGAGGTCAATCCACTTAACCCAAATCTTCACAACTATACAGCGGTATAGAAATTGTTTGACCTTGTTTTCGCAACTTGGTCATATTGGTAGGAAGACCAATAGGAAAGCAACT